TTAGTGATTTTACGCAGTTTTGATGCCATATTCTTTGCAAGAACCCCTAATATAGAAGAGTGAAGAGTAAATCCATCCTGTCGAGTTTAGATAATTCAATAGGTCTCTTGTCTTCACCGATGAACAGTCCGATAAACTGTCAAAGAAGTATTTTACTAAAAACCTATTTGAAATATCAAAGTCGGGCATTCACAGAAAAAATGTATTTTGGTTTATTTTCCCTGTGGGTTCCCACAACTTCTGCAGTGGAGATTATGAGGAGTGCGCAGTTTCTCTGCGTGTGTTCTTATGCATCAATGACCAGTAAGAACTGCAGTAAACCTTGCAGTGTTAACGCGGTCTCTTTCGATGAGTTCCGAGGGCCTGATTTGATGACTTATTTCAAAAATGCTCCCATGGCTTTTGCATGGGTTTTGAAAAAGGAAACTGATCAAATAAGTAACCCACTAAAAAAGCGTATCAGAAGAATTTTATTGCCCTTCGTTTTGCAACAACGCCTTGACTTTAAACTAAAACTAGAAGGCTTATATACTTTTTTGTATAAAAAAAAATTTATTCTATTCTATTTTGTGCTGACACGAATTTTAGTTCTTATTTTAAACAAAAATTCTTTTCGTGAATATTGGATGGGATAGGCATATAAAAAGATTTCATCCCTTCGATTTTGCAGTTTCGTTAGTAAGAGAGAAGAGAAAAAAGCTTATTATTGGCCTACCCGAAACTTAAATACTCTTTACACAATTATTTACTCAAAAAAATTAAATTTTTAAATTTATATTTTATTTATTTTGAAATTATATATGAACAAAAGAATAGTGATTTAGACATAACCCAAGTTACTTTGTCTAACTGATCAAAATATTGAATAGCTGATGCTATATTGACTGTGTGTCACAAACATTCCAACAATGTTAATATACCCATTCGACAAAATATGAGTAGATTATAAAAAATGATCACAGAAGAGAGATATTGGCGATTTGCTTATAATGCTGAGTTCTACTTTAAGAAAAAACTACAGTGGAAAATTTTTGAAACAAACTTCTTTCTTTGTTTTGAAGATTTTGTCCCAATAATATATCAAAAGTACTTGAAATATTTATGCATTTTACATAAAAAAAATTAATCACAAATTATATGCACAGAATAACGAGATCCAAAGACTCTAGTACAAGAGGCATAACCCTTAACTTCTCAAGAAAAATTTCTATTATACTCACAATCCATTCGAAACGTTTTCCCATTCAATAGAACTATTTATTTTAACTCAAATCAAAACATATTTTGATTTTCGAGTAGATAATACCTTTAAAATACAAAACTCCCACATTTTGCAACATCAAGTATTCGTAAAATAGAAGGACTGAGATGGGACTATGATAGTCCTTTCTGATGTTTTTGTAGCAACCAGCAAATTTGAATATTCAGACCTTAATCGAAGCCTGTATAGCTACGTTTAAGCTTATCAAATCAAGAAGCAAAGTCGTTATAATACTTTATTGATGAGTTTGCACGACTAATTTACCATCACAAAGCAATGGTTAATTAACACACAATATGATTTTCTCTGATTGTTTCGCAGATATCAAATATGGACACTGCTTAAATAGCAGTAACTGAAAGACTAGAGATCAATATATTGGAAAATTTTAGTAAGTCATTTCTAAAAGTTACCACTCCACAAAAAACATATGTATTTTGTATGGTTTTGCTTATTTGATGATTACCTTTAAAGCTTATTAAGACAGTAAATTTCTTTAGTTCCGGTTTTCCGATCAAATTTTTTGTTTCCAATAAATGAAAGGAACGTATATTCACTAAAACTATCTCTCAAAAAGTAGTTGAGAAGTTTTTTTGGATTGTAGAAGACTTCCGGTTGAAATCGCTTACCGAATCAATTTAAAAATATTATACAATATATATCGGTTCGGTATCGGTTTTAGCTGCGATAAAAATATGCTCTTTTTTAGGTTTCTGGTCTAGTTTTGAGTGAATATATTTTTTTGTTGATTCTGTTTTGTAAATATATAATTTTTATGATATTTAAGTCATAGTTTTTGTTTTCTTTGAAAAGGATTGTTAAGAAATTTACTTACGAAAGAACAAATTTATACATATCTAATATTAAAGATTCTCAGAAAAGCAGTTTTGGAAACTTTCATTTATTCAAGTTTTATCAAAAGAAAACTTATGAACCTAAAGTAACTTGTATATTTCTCTTTATTTGGTTCAGTTTCCTGTTTCGAAAAAAATCAGTTTTTTTCGAGTTTGGTTCATAATTCTGTGCAGATTCGAAGCCCTGGATGTTATCTATTTTGTTATATGAATATGCGTAAATAACTTCTAGGAGGAGCATAGGGTCGCCATGAAGTGTCAAAAGATTTTTTTTAGATGACGGATAAATTACGGATCCAACGAAACAGATTTTTATCTATCTATGATTTTAGAATAATTAAATCATAAGCGGTACATTCTCAAGACTTATGTTGTTTGTTCTGCAAGTAATGATAGGTAGTATAAATCCAAACTTTTTTTTATAGATCATGCATAATAAATTTTGATGACTTTTAACAAAGCTCGTCTTCATAAAAAATCATCTGGGAATAAACTTAACTTGAGAAATCTTTATCAATAATTTGAGATATTCAAACTTCAATAAATTAGCCAAATTTTTGTTGTTAACATTTAATTCCCATTCGAACCATTCTAAAAAATTAACATTGTGATATTAATTTTTGACAGTATTTCCATCAATTGCTTTATAATGCTATCTTATTGAAACTATATAAGTACATTTTTTTATAACTAATATTATTATTTCTATGTTTATTAAAGAGATATATAGTATACCTAACAAATTCTAGAAGTTTGATATTTTGAAAAAATATTTTCTATTAAAATCTAAATGCCTTATGTTAGATATTATATATTATCTATAAATTCTATTTTTTTAGCTTCTTTACTGTTTGTTTTTTTATTTGTATTTTTATCTGTATATATCACACCATTTAATAAATAATGGTTATCGGCAATCGATAAATACATGCTGAGGAGTATTACATAGTGTGTATATATTAAATAAACATATACACTCTTAATTGTATTGTATATGGAATTTTCAAATTCTTGAATGTAATAGTGCACAATAAGCAGTTTCTTATATTTCTTCAGCAGTTTTTGTTTTTATTCCAAGTTATGCTGACAATGAAATTTCCATTGAAATAGCCAGAAAAAAAACGTGTTTCCTTAATCTCCAACTGTTTATTGGAATAGAGAACATATGTACATTTATTCAGAATAAACAACAGTGGGTTGTGAATAAGAGCTTACTGTGAGCTTCAACTTGGGAATGGGTTTATGAAATTTAGTTTTGGCTTTAAGTAAACATTTGTTTCTGAAAGCTTGAACTGGAAAAATGTTCACATTTGTTAAAAATATCTATTAGTTAATCTAATCTATGTTCATTTACAGTGATCAGAATACGGATAGTGCGTCGACCATACAAAAGGAAATATAGATAGACTTAATCGATATAATAATTATTCTATCTATGAGGAAACGGTGTTTATCAGTTTAGTTTCATCCTGTTTTTTTATAACTTTAAATCTAAATTAAATACTTAAAGGATATATATTATTTATACACTCACACAAGCTATTAGGGTTATAGGTACCCTTAGTACAATTTCTTCCATTACGCTTGACTTAATGGTTTACCAAATACTGTTTCATCTTATAAACAAGAAAATTGTAGAACCCTCAATTTCAGCGTAATAGTTAAAGCGCTAATTATTTAGACCCCAGTCTCATACAAAATCTATTAATTTTCTTAACAAAAATTATAGACAATATTTTCCTATGAAATTATTTCTGAAGAATTAAAAAATACCTTTCAATTTCAAATTGTAGCAACTATTTGAATTGAAATGAATGAAGCTAACTATTAATTTAAAGGCCATGTTGAACAGATAGTCATATGACAAATGGGTACTACAGTTTTGCTCTATATTTCGACATAAACAAAAGAAATATTGTACAGAGAGTTATATCACAATTGCCAATTTCGTCTTTTAACTTTTTAGTATCTTATTATAAACCTTTTATTTTAATACTTTTTTATGTGCCAAAATTTGAAAGGTGTTTATTTATATAAACATTTTTACACCTGACATTTTTTCTCGAAACCACTGTTTTGACCAATATGACCAATATGAAAACAATAGTAATTTCATATTTGACGTGACCATGACTATCCGATAAAATGACTCTTAGTAAAAATTTAACTAATGGGTACAGTAGAGTAGATTTTATATATATGTGGCTCTAGTTAAAGCTAATTGTGTGATTATACGTGGCTTAATAATATTATAATGAAGCTAGTATTGAATACATTCGGGGCAACCTAAATTAGAATTTCGTCCAAAGCTCTGATGACAACAAAGATAAATAGAAAAATTGTGTCAGAGCTAAAATTTTAGTTAACGTAGAAAATATTGCACTAGCAAAGCTAAATAAATTTTGATCATTCCATTAAGTTCTGTTATCATAGCACTACTTGTCAAGTGTTAACAAGCTTTAGTATATATCTAACTTGAATTGTACTAGGTAAAAGTACACTTATTACTTCAATTTAGTGTATATTTAGTAAAAAAATTAAATACTTTGAACTGGCATAAGGGATCTTAGAATATCTGTCCGTTTATTCGATAATTGCAAGAGAAAACCTAGAAATAATTTTCAAATGTTTTGTAAAAATATCAAATTTTTTTATTCAATATATATCTTTCAAATACCTTTTTTAACCTTAAGCAATGATTAACTAGATTTTTTTTAAAGACCTCAGCTTTATTTAATCAATAAAGAGTATCATTTTCGATGAAATGTGATTAGTAATTATTAAAAAGAAATTACTTAATACAGTATAGTATAGCATATTCTAGACTATAGTTTAGATCTAGTAAAATCTAAACATTTTTTTATAGTTTATATAGTTGACTTCACTTTAGAAACTTTATACGATTCATTTGAACGTCCTTTTATTTTCACAGTAAATTGTTAGCTTAGCTTATCATTCCAATATAGCTATGACCGAATAGTGCTCAGAACCAAAATAAGTTTGATGTGCTCTAATCCAATAGGTAGTCTATAGTAACTATGACGTTTAGATATCAGTTTTTTTCTCCTTTATATTTTGGAACTTCTGATTATTGGCAGCTAAGAATTAGTTTTAGCACTGATTATTTAATTAGCCTTTCGTTAAATGTTCCGATATTGTTACCTAGTTTTAGTGATTACCTGAAATAAAATTTATCACACAGTTATTCTTTCAAGTTTTATCTATACTCGTATTTAATGTCAGAGTATTTGAAATAAATTTATTATTGGCCGGGATAAATTATATTTTTTTATTTAAAATTGATTCAATACATGTGTTTAATTTAATTCACTGTGTACGGCCAGGAATCAGACTGAATTCCTTAGAGAATGTGTTTATGAAAACGATTGATTTTCGCCATAAAAACTAATGATCCGCCATCACAGATATCCAGGTAAACCCCAGTTGGTGCCAGAAGAAGATGTAAGCTCTGCGGAAAAAATGAAAGGAAGGGTTAATACACTTTTAATTTTTTTTATTGAAATTTAAAATATTTTTAAACTATTTGAGATTGATTTTGTATTACCAAAATAATGAGAAGTGCACATAGCAAACCCAACAAAAGTACAATCTCCAATATTATCAACATTTTATTTTCTTTATTCAATTTTTAATTAAAATAATTGATCGGAACAAGAGTTCTGTACACTTGAACTAATCAATCAAAACTGGCTTAAAACCAACTAATATCGCAAATTTAACTCTTATAAATGCGTAAGTCATGATAAGTTTTATACACCCAGTCAGCACTATATATATAATACACTACACATGTGGGTATGTATTTACATAAGCAAAGCCATATTTACACCCATACTATAAATAAGAATGGACTAATAAAAAAGAAAATATGGTTTTCTAATGATAATATTTTGCTATCTCTGTTTCTACTTCATATAAATGATGGGTGGTGTGTAGTGTATCTATATATATATATATTTAAAACTCAAATAACGTAATATCTATATATATAATTTAAACAGGGTACTTATATTCAAAATATTATATATGTTGCAGATTCTACATTACTGTAAAAAACAATCATATAAGGTCGAATAGTTTTATAATGCTAACCAAGGCTTAGATTGATTAAGGTTGATTCTACATACCTTCAATTATATAAACAAGCATATAAATATATAAAAGTCCATTACAAATTGTTATGTTTTGTCACGAGTTGTTGGATTAGAAAGAACTTCTTTGGGACAGATTTTGTTGGCATTGGTTTTGTGTCCAATATATTATGTGAGCCACAAGTCGTTTATATATCTTTTGCAATCAGAATTACCATTAAACTCTTCTTATTAGCAATCGCACTCTATTTAATTTTTCTACACTTCATCATTTATTTTCTAACTTTCTGGAACCGTTAACTCTTTTTACAAAAAGAGTTTTTGTTGTGAAATAGTTTCGTTGCTAAAGGCCTTCCATAACTTTATAAATCTTCATTGAACTTGAATTCATATATATTTCCCACACACAAACTTCCTGATCCTATTTTTGACCCCATAAAAGAAGTGGTACTAATGCACGTCCTTCGCCGTATACATACAAACTAAGTGTGACTAGTAAACATGTATGTTACTTACAGTGCAAGCAATACACAAAAAAGTTTCGACTCGATAAACAAGATACACCGCGCCCAACTGTAAGATCCTGATTGCATTAAAAACTTATGATTACTTTTTATGATCAGATTTTCGGTAGTCCCTTGCAATACAAAAGATTTTCTCCTAAAGTGTACTGCAAAGACAACACTTATTCATCGTGAAATCTTCTGTTAATTTAATTTGTTGATTGCCTATTATAATTGCACGACGGTATTGACTGCATCCAATATTCTCCCTCAATTGACTGATTAGAAATATTAAGACGGTACGTGATTTCTTCTAATTAGTTTTTTTGGTTGGGCAGCCAAGTTCCTTTCTTGCGACATTTAATTACCAGCGCAACCGCTTGATCTTTATTCCCGATGTCATTCTAATGCTTAAGCTGATGTAGCCCGTCATTTTGTGGAGACCAACGTTTAATATTAATATAGATAAGATTTTAGTGGATTTTAGTATTGTATCTGAAAATTTGCATAGAATTTTACTTTGTTCTCAACTTTTTGGTAATATTTATAAATGATAAGGAACAATCACTGGTATTGCCGGATGAAACTGTGAAATGTCTGTTAGGCTTAGTAGAAATTGTATGAAGAGCTTTAATCTACATGACTTAAATTATCTCTTTCAACTTCCTGAGTCCTTTATAGGCAAACTTCTATCTCCTTAGCAACTAGCAATTATATATAATATGTAGTGCGGGATATTCACTTTTCCTAAACTGCAAGCAAGTTCCCAAGTTCCGTGTTATGAAAAATCTACTAATTTAAAAAGCTAGTATATGGCATTTGTGGAATTTAATGCATTCATATATAACTGAAGTTGAATCAGCTATAGTTGACAATGGAGCCAAAACAATTTATCAACGAAACTCTTGTAAATAATATACCTTCTATAAAACAGTAGATCTTCATCGGAAACTATATTATGATAACGTTATATTCAGCAGAGAAATCGCTCCAAAGTATAGGAATCAAAGTATAGGAATGTGAAAATAGAACGCTACCAGTGAAATGACACTCAGAAATATTGAATACTTTTTTCCTTCAGCATAACTGCAGTAATTAAATTACTCCAAGTATTCAGTGGGGTGAGAAGATTACGCATAGACATGCTTAGTATGAGAGTGACAAAATGAAATAAAACCGATAAAAGGAGTATCAGAAATGTCGAGTAACTTTAAACTTCAACTCAAGTAAAGCAAGTAAAATTATCCAGGTAATCAGTCAGATGAGAAAACCATGCATAGACTTGCTTAATAAGAAAGTGTGAAGGTGGAACAAAATTTATGAAATGACACTCAGTAATGAAGAGTAATTTATATTTCAGCACAAGTAAAATAGTGAATTACTCTAAGGAATCAGTGCGAACATTACGCATTGAAGATGGAATGAAGATGGAACGGAACTGATGAAGATATGAACGGTTCTTCAAAGTATAAAGATGAACGGCAAATGTGAAATGAATTGAAAGTGAAGTATTATATTATACACTAGTGTAAGTGAAAACGATATATAAAGTGGAAATGTGGGTTAACCACGCAATAAGAGGATGAGTAGATCACTTATTGAATAGAATGGAAAGATCTAAATATTTCTACTTGTTTCAAAACTCAAACACGTAAGGCAATCTGACCTTAGATGAAACAAAAAATAGTTTCTACTGCTACAATAAACTCAGGTTGTAGTGAAATCAGTGATACGCCTATATGCACCCTCACCACTAAACTTGGTAGTGTTGATCAAAGATTCGAACACATTATTGGAGAGCATGCAGCTGCCATGAGAAATGATAATTGGGAGCGTTTAAATAAACTATCTAAAGGTGCTGGAGAATAATTTTATATAGTTTATTGTCAAAGCTTGTGACATCTGTAAAAGATATACGTCCACTGTAAAATATTTTTATAATGTTAACAGTTTACTAGAATAATTTTTTTCGCATATATTTTTTTTAAGTTTAGAGCTATATATTGTTAGCTCTAACAATAGCCGTACTGTTTACTTGACTCAAAGAATACGAGTAATGTTGTGAATTTAAGGAATCTTGTAATGAAACACCTTGTATAATATGGGACATAGGTGATGTGTTTAAACGCATACATGCCTTACATTGCGAATAAATTATAATTGCTTGATTACATTTTATATACATGTAGGTACATAAACAGAAGTTATATATGATTAACGCAAAGTCGTTTTCTTATTAAAGTCACATTGTTATATAAGTGAAAAAACAGCTGCTTTCGTACTGTTTTGAATGAAATTTGGTATTAAAAGTATTGTTTTATTGAAACCTAATGCATATAAAAGAACAAATTTAGAAAACAATGCATAAGATTTTAATCTATAAATTATTTAAACTTAGTTGTTGAAAACAAATTTTCAACGATACCTTACGTGAAATACTTAGTCATACATTTCTACACAACCTTGTGGTGGTCAGTATAAACCTTACGCTTGGATCTGAAATCAAACAAGAACCAACTTTCTGTTAGTAGGTGCATATACCTGAGGATTTTATCAAGCTTACTCTTAGTACTTGGTACAATCTCGAATCAAACAAGAACCAACTTTCTGTAGTAGGTGCGTATACCTGAGGATTTTATCAAGGGTACTCTTAGTACTTGGTACAATGTCGAATGATTGATACAATAACCTTGAAATTTAGTTATAAACCGAAATGCCCAAAATATGTTACACCAAATTCGAGTCTAAATCGATCGACTCCATTTTTCACACACACACATTCATATTGAATTATTAAGAATGCAAAATTTTCCTTAACAATAATTTATACCTGAACCCCTAATATAAGGGGCTAAAAAAGTATAATGCTCACTGATTGAAATAGTTTTAAATTAACTTTTTATTGCAATTCTTGACTTTCTATTAAATCATTTTTCAAAATTCCTACTCATTACTGTTTTTTTTATATTTCAATAAAATATAATTAAAGAATAAAAAATATTAATTAACAATAAAATAATTTTAATTGAATTCAACAAAATAGTGAAAAAAACGCCTCTTTTCACTCACGCATACAGTTAGTGCATTAATTCGCTTAAAGGTATATGCAGCAGCCAAAGTACCATTTAACTATACTAAAAATTGTAAAGAGAAGCAGAAACTGTCAAAAAGTCAGCTAAAAACCCTAAAAGAATGACTGTCAGATGTTAAAAATATTTTCGATTCGACATAAAATAATTTTTTATTAAATCAGATGCATGGGCTCATGGTATGAAATTTTACAGTACTGTTTTTTTTTGATTTGAGGAGTGCGTTTAATTGATTTTATAAAAAAATACTTCAAAATAATTTCATCCTGAAAACGTCATTTTTTAGCAGAACGATAACTCTTAATTATAGGCAAAATTTTTTTTTTTTAATTCTTCTACTCTGTCAACAAATGGCCCGGATGTCTCAGAGTATTGAGACATGAGACCTGAAACTGAAAGAAAAGCCTATGAGTCCATATCTCCTAGAAATATTTGAAGATGGAACGACGAATCCATTTTTTTATTTTATTAGAAAACCTAATACAAGCAATTAGAACTAAACCTGAGTCGTTGAAGTCTATTTTTGTCAAAAAATGTAAATAAATGTAGTTTTGGTTAAACTTCTATGCGTTATTTATATATCTTGAGCTATATTTTATAGAAATGGTCAAATAGTATGCTTTCTGAACTTACAAACATATTGCAAAGGATGATCATAACTATGCATTGTGTACGATCTATGAAATTGTAAAAAAAGGAATAACAATTAAATATTTTATACCTACCACAAAACGTTTTTGACACAAAAGAATTATTGCTAATATTACAATAGCTTTAGTATATGTTCAGTGCAGTAAAACGATGCGTGCGACTACAATAAGCTGAAACTGGTATATATGATTCCATTCAAAAAGACCTCCGGAATAGACTTCCACTAGATATCCATATAACTGTATTACAAGCTCCTCGGCAAACTTAATATATTTTATTTAAATACAGTGTGAATGATGGTAAGATGATAAAATTAATTTCCACACATGAGGAGAAATGCATTCTTTAAGGTGCCATAAAATGTATAATCTCAAAACAGTTCAGAAATTAGT